TGATCCAGAGATATAGAGCGGAGACCTTCAGACTCTAAAGCACTGTTGGACGCCATTGGAAGAGTCTCATCTTCATTAAAAGCCTCTTCCATTATATCATCAATATTAGTCACCTCTTCCCCTTCACCTAATTCTTCCTCTTCACTTTCATATCCTTCACCTTCCAAGAACACGATATCATGATCACCACTTCCAGTTGATACCCTATTATTACCCTCACCCACCTCACCACGACTTAGCCTTGCACTAGACATATCAAGTTTTACAACGACCACAGATAAAGTTATAGGCTTGAGGCTTGACTTGCTCATTTTTATGATTTCTTTGAGTGTGAGGAATCAAGAGTCCATGAGAGCCAATAGCTACTGTTTGACACATTTATGCTTTGTAGAAATTTTGAGCTGATTCTAACTTCAATTTTTAAATTTATGATTATTTTTTAATGGCCAAGGCCCAATGATTTTTTCTAAAGAATGGCTCCAAAATTAACCTAAATTTTTATTACTTTTTCTCATACGTATTAATGACTTTATGCTATGTAGAAAGTTTGAGCTGATTCTGACTTCCATTTTTCAAGTTACGATCATTTTGAAAATACCTGAGCTCAAAACTGAACAGATACATTACCCAGGTAAAAATAAAATATATTTTTCATATATTTTGCATGCAACTTTTCTCTGTTACATATGTTTGGCATAGATGTTAAATGTATGTTACTTATAGTAATCTATTTCACATATATATGTCACTTATGTTTTTCTTATAGGTAAAAATTTGTTCATCGGTGCATTTAATTGACATATATATGTGTTTTATGAAACATTTTTGTGCATATATATGTGATTTATGTGCTCTTATAATGAAAATATATGCAACAATAATGTACTTTCACACATATATGTAAATTATATGTATATTGAAGTGCCACACCTCACCACACCTTATTTAATAATTATTACTAGCTGTGTTACATGTAAGTGTGCTTTAGACAAGTCTCATGGCAAATAGAAGGGTAAGATGATAGAATAATACATGTAATTTATAGAAGAAGCCTATTTTAATCTGATGAAAAGTATTTGAGAATATCTCCAATATAAAAAGAACCAGTGTCTTCAGTGCTAATAATGATACATTTTTTCTTTATTTTACTTAGTGAAACTTCGGCTTGATGGTACCTACAATAAGGCTATATAATTTGTCTATTATTTTAAAGCTATACCTTGAAAATGGATGAAGATATTTATGTAAGTGTGGGACTACATAAGCTGCCCTGTTATCAAGCACTCTAACGATTGCCTTGACTTCATTTAATTGTCTTATAAATTGAAACTGCTCAATCAAGCAGTGCTGATTAGTGTCAAGCTGTACTGCATAGTCAGCTATTTTTTGGGACCTCTTATACTCCCTCGAGGAAATTTTTCCCACTTTAAGCATAAACAATTGCTTTATATTTGATGTGACAGCTTTGGTGGGAATTCCTTTTTCATCGACAGTTATATGGCATCTGTAATATAGGAGTAGAAATCTGTAACCATTTTCATGCTTATTTATACGCATATTTACCTTTCTGGTCTTGTTTTTAGAAAGCAACATTGGTGTAATAGATCGTCATTGACTTGGGACATTTTGGAGTGGACAAAGTGAACAAAAGCAACACTTTCTGCTATCTAAAAAAGTAAACAATCATAATGCAATATTTTAAATAAATGTATAATTTACCTGCATGTGAACATTATTTGTTCCATGAAGCAGCTTCTTTACAGCTGCATTTGCATTTTCAAATTCGTAGCAGGTGTTTGCCCAGAGTGGTCCAAGCTCTTTAACAGCTTGTGGCATGTGTAGTAAATAGTGAAGATTGAGAGTTGCATGTCTTTCACCTACATGCATTACATATGGCTCTGTTAAATTTTGGATTTTCATTTTTTATTTTTAGTAATTAATAAAGGTGCGGTCATGTGCAAATGGAAGCTTTGGCCCACATAATTTTGCACAGGTTCATTTCATTACAATGGTGGTAATTGTGACAGTTATTAGACTAACCATAAAGATCGATAAATTCAGAATGAAACTCGTAAATAAGCCTTTCACTTTCCATTAAGTCATGAGGACTGATAATATCTTTATTTAGATTGTAGCAGACTGTCACAAGCTTTGAGATGTGATTAAAATATCTTCTTGGCAGAACGTCATCCATGCATGGTATCAAGTAAAACAGAAGAAAGTATTGATACTCAGATGCTAATCATTGTAATCAGTAAGGTAAGTAAACATTAAAATTAATTACTATAATTATTCTCTATTTTACCTTTCCAGTACTTTCGTTCTTGTAATGATCGCTGGATTTTACTCAAGTTAGAAGTAGGCTGAACATTTAGAAGACGCTTATTAACTTCTGTAACCTTAGATGGACTACAATA